TTGAAGATTAAAAATTGTTCAAGGCATGACCCTGGGGCAAAGGGCGTGGTCTCAAGGTCACTTCAAAGTTGACCAAAATTTACACTTATTAAAAACATTGATATTTTGCTTACTATAAAGACTAGGATTATAGTCTTTTCTAATCTTTTCGAAGAAGGGAGGGCATATTGCGTTGATGCTGTCTGTCTGTCGGTCCACTTAGTTTCCGTTCATTTTCTTCGCAACCGTTGCACGTACTTAAACGAAATTTGGTATACAAATGTTCTGTTTTGGGCATGATTGCACAATTTTTTACAGAGTTATGCCCCTTTAACTTAGGAAAATTTCAATTATTTGCAGTTTCCGTTCATTTTCTTTGCAACCGTTGTATATGCTAAAATGAAATTTGGTATATAGATATATCATATTAAAATCTAGGTCAAATTCTGTTTTGAGTATGAGCGCGCCATTTTTTACGGAGTTATGCCCCTTGAACTTAAGATTACAATCATCTGCAGTTTCTGTTCATTTTCTTTGCAACCGTTGTACATACTAAAATGAAATTTGGTATACAGATATATCACATTAAAATCTAGATCAAGTTTTGTTTTGGGTACGAGTGTGCCATTTTTTACTTTTGGACTTGGAAAAATTCCAATTGGGGGAAGGGGGGCACATCTTTTGTTTATAAATTAAATTTCTCTAAAGAATATGTTGATTGATAAAATTAAATTTTTATGGTTATTCTGTGAGCATAAAAATATACAATAGGGTAAGACAATTTTTGGTGCTACATATTAAAACGTCTTGGGAAAAACATTTAGAAACTTGTGAAATTATTTTTAAAATTCCGTATAAATTACATTTTAATCCCTGATCAGTTTTTAAAGGTTGATATGCTTGTTAAAAGTAATGCTCAATAATATGAGAACATAACTGTATATGTGTGGAGGACCCTTAAGACGGGACGTATTATGTTATAGGCTTCATGTCCGTCGGTCCGTCTGTCCATTTGTGTTTGGCTCATAACAGTACTTCAATACTTTCAGGCCTAGGATTATCAAATTTTGTCAACTTATGCTTCTTGGATAGACGATGTGTCGTGCACAAAAAGTAGGTCGCTCTGACCTTTAATAAAGATGCTATGGCCAAATATGGTAAAATTCTGTCTGGCTCATAACTAGAAAACTTGCATATAAATGTAATGATATAATTATATGGTACATATAATTTCTGGAAATGTGTGAAACATCTTAGAGGTAAGTTTTATGTGAAAATGGTTTACCAATTACATGTACATGTAACTTACATCCCTTTTTAAATGATTGTATATTGTTTAACGTCCCTCTTGAGAATTTTTCACTCGTGAAGGTGCGACCACTTGCTGGTGGAGAGCTGCAAATTTTGTCTTACATTTGGCACTCGGGGCCATTGAGCAGGAAAGATCTTTTTCGCGTCAGAACCTACTGCTATATATTTTTGAAAGTGTCATCAGTGATGGCAGCATTATTAATTTAAGAATGTGTGTATGTATGAAGTACAGACTACTTTAATCAATCTTTTATAGTATAGATTATAACATTCTTGTATTTTTTGTAGATCACAGAATGCCTAGGAAGAAGACTTGGAAGAAGGCTGCTGTGAAGAAGACGAAATCATGTAAGGCAGATGTGGGTGACAAGTAGAATGGTCTCGTCCAACCATTTGTGCCTCTGGGTGTAGGCCACGTCCTAACACCTATGACATCTGTACCGGCAGGGGTGATCTCTACCACCCCTGTGACAGTGGTCTCTGCGGCTCTCCCTGAGACCACTTTGAATCAGAATTTATCTCAGAATTTATCTAAGAATTCATCTCAGTTGCTTACTCAGAATGTCTCTCAGATTACAACTCAAAATATTACTCAATTTACAATGAACAATATTTCAAATGAAACAACACAGGCACTGCAAGGTAATTGTATGCATCAGAATTCAGATAATCTGGTGTTTGGGTCTTTCCATCAGGGAAGTATGAGGTTTTCATCATTTTCAAGAGGTAATCAGTGTACATGCAATTCACTTATGATGTTGTCAAATTCATATGAAAATTTTTCATTCACTAGTTCCTTTTTAGATCTGACTCTGCTCAAGGGAGATAATTTGTACAACGCAGTTGTGAAGAATCTTCAGAGTGCTGGAAAACTGAAAAGCAGATTACTGATGTTTGATGAACTACCACTTCATATTGATTCTGGTGAAAATCATCACATTGTAGATAAGTTTGGTACATTGTTTGGCTTATTAGTTACAGATGATAAGAGAAATCAAATTCAAACTCTACATGAATGTCTGCAACAAGCTTTGGGGTTATCAAGGTATGTATTAATAATGATTGGCTCGATATGTTCAGCACTGTACAAAGCTTCAGACAATGATTTTTATTTTTTTGACTCGCATTCTCATGGGGAAAATGGTTTGTCTGATTGTGATGGAAAGTCTTTGATGCGACACAGTTGCTGCTTAGATGATTTGTTAGGGTTTCTGTATGCAATGTATGAAAGTATGCACATCGAATTTGCGACTGAATTTGAGGTGATGCCTGTTGCCTTTCGTACACTTATTCATAGCTTCCCTAGCAATAATCAAAGTGTACATCAATATTGTAGATTAGATCAGTCAACAACTGCTTTCACAAACAAACAATCTGTTGGTAGTAGTACTGGTCATTTAAAAACAACAGAGATGAGGAAAGATAAAAAGGATTACATGAGAGAATATATGAGAAACAAGAGACAAGATCCACAGTTTAAAGACAAGGAAAGGGACAGTAAGAGAAACAAAAGACAAGTTTCAGAGTATAAAGAAAAAGAAAGAGACAGCAAGAGAAACAAAAGACAAGATCCAGAGCTGAAAGACAAGGAAAGAGACAGTATGAGAAACAAGAGGCAAGATCAAGAGTTCAAAGACAAGGAAAGGGACAGTATGAGAAACAAGCGACAAGATTCAGAGTATAAAGGAAAAGAAAGAGACAGTAAGAGAAACAAGAGACAAGATCCGGAATTTAAAGACAAGGAAAGAGACAGTATGAGAAACAAGCGACAAGATTCAGAGTATAAAGGAAAAGAGAGAGACAGTAAGAGAAACAAGAGACAAGATCCGGAATTTAAAGATAAGGAAAGAGACAGTATGAGAAACAAGAGACAAGATTCAGAGTATAAAGGAAAAGAAAGAGACAGTAAAAGAAACAAGAGACAAGATCCGGAATTTAAAGATAAGGAAAGAGACAATAAGAGAAACAAGAGACAAGATCCAAAATTTAAAGATAAGGAACGGGACAGTAAGAGAAACAAGAGACAAGATCCAGAGTTTCAAGACAAGGAAAGAGACAGTATGAGAAAAAAACGACAAGATCCAGAGTTTATAGACAAGGAAAGAGACAGTAAGAGAATTAAAAGGCAAGAAGAAGATTACAGGCATGATGAGCAAATAAAAGATTTCATGAAGAAAAAGGAAATGAGACAAAATCCTAACCAATTAGAAAAAGAAAGATTGAAGATGAAAGAAAAGAGAAAAAATGAAGAATATAGAACATCAGAAAATATTGCTGCAAAACAATCAAAAGCACACTCACGGAAGAATTTGGATTATATTGAAACTGAAAAACAAAGATACAGAAAAAGTAAATATGGATTTGATGCGGAGGAGTGTGTTGACAATTTTCACAACAATGTAAGATTGGGTCCTGTGTTTGTATGCACATGTTGCCAACAGACATGGTTTCATGAAAGTGTTTCAAATGTTGATAATGTTTTGTTGGATGCTGAAATCAAGAAAAAGTATCTTACGAATACAAAGTCTGTAAATGGGCAGGAATGGATTTGCAACACCTGCAATTCAAGCTTGAAAGAAGGTCGGACTCCAAAACTCTCTTTTGCAAATGGAATGACATGGATACAAAAACCAAGTGAATTAAATTTGTTACCATTGGAAGAAAGACTTGTATCCTTAAGAATTCCTTTCATGCAGATAAGAGAATTACCAAGAGGAGGGCAGTATTCTGTAAAAGGAAATGTTGTAAATGTGCCAGTTGACATACAACCAACAATCAATAGTCTTCCCAGGAGACTTGATGAGAATATCACAATACCTGTCAAGCTAAAAAGAAAACTATCTTTTCAACACTCTTATTCTCATGAAAATATCCGACCTACAAAGGTTTTGATTGCTTTACATTGGTTAATGAAAAACAGTGAATATTATCAGAATTCAAATATAAACATAGATGACAACTGGTTCCATGAAGTTACCAATTCAGCAACAGAATTAATGAGAGAGTTTATAGAGGGCCACACCAAACAAGATTCAACAGTGCATGACCAATCAGATGAATCAGACTCGGATGAATTCTGTGAAGTTGATAGTAGTGGTAAGGATGGAAATTGTGATACACTACTAGACAGGGACTCGTATGATATGAATCAGGTCTTCACATTTGCTCCAGGAGAGGGACAGCGTCCACTTAGTTTGCATCAAGATCAAATGGCTGAGTATTTGTCATTTCCAACAATATTTTGTGGTAAAGGAAGAGTAGAAAACAATCAGCGTCAAGTATCCATTTCATATGCTGATATTGCCAAGTGGGAATTACGAAGTGTTGATAGACGTGCTGCACAGTCTGTACCGAATTTGTTTTTCAAATTGAAAAAGATTCAACTAAAACAGGTTACAGACAAATGCAATTTAGCTCTTAGAAAATGCAAAACAAAGGGGAAAACCTTTACTGCTAATGAAATAAGAAATCCTGATCAAATTAACAACATTGTCAGACACAATGAGGGATTTTATGTATTCAAGCAGTTGAGAAATTCTCCTCCTTATCTTGAAACAAGGAAGAAAGATGTATTTGCAATGATACGACAGATTGGTCTACCAACTTGGTTTATGTCCTTTTCTGCTGCAGATACATGATGGAATGATCTGATAAGGGCACTGGGAGTTTTAAATGATGGCAGAGAGTACACAGATTCTGAAATTGAGAGCATGACATGGACTGAAAAATCAAAGTTAGTTCAGAAAGACCCAATTACATGTACCAGGTATTTTGATCATCGTTTTCGTACTTTTTTGAATACTGTGCTTAAGAGTGATCATCATCCTATTGGCAAGGTACAGGACTTCTTCTATAGGGTTGAATTTCAACAAAGGGGATCACCACATGTTCACATGATTGTTTGGATTGAAAATGCTCCAAAATACTTGGAAAATGATGAAAAGGAAATTGTTGCATTTGTTGATAGCTATTTAAGATGTGAAAGAAATGCAGAGGACACTATGCTAGAATTACAGGTGCATAAACACTCACAAACATGCAAAAAAAGAGGAAAGGCTGTTTGTAGATTTGGATTTCCACTCCCACCACTCCAAGCTACAATGATATTAGAACCTTTGGACAGTGAAATTGAGAAATACAAGAAGATGCATAAAGCTATGCAAGACAAAATGAATGAATTTAAGAATGGTTGTGATGTAAGCTTTAGTTTCCAAGAGTTTTTGCAGGATGTACTACAACTATCTGAAGATGATTATATCAAATGCATCAGAAGTTCATTGAAAGGACCCAAAGTATTTCTAAAGCGGAAACCTTGCGACCTCAGAGTGAATGCTTACAACAGTACTCTTCTTCATGCATGGGCAGCTAATATTGACATTCAATATGTATTGGACCCATATGCTTGTGCAATGTATATTGTATCATACATAAGTAAATCCCAAAGAGGAATGAGTGATCTTCTGAGTAGAGCTGCGAAAGAAGCAAGAGAGGGCAATCTTGACATTAAGAGACAAGTTAGACACATTGGAAATCAATTCCTCAACAGTGTTGAAGTTGGAGCACAAGAAGCAGCATATCTGGTTTTGCAAATGCCCCTTACAAAAGCATCAAGAGATGTAATGTTTATAAACACATCTCCAATTGATGATCGTGTAATACTTGTCAAACCTGATGCAGAACTTAAAAAGTTGAATGCTAACTCCACAGACATAGAATGCAGTAACATAGTCAAAAGGTATGCAAAACGTCCAAAACAACTTGAAAACTGGTGCTTAGCTGACTATGTCTCACAGATAGATGTAGTTTTCCCAAAAGAAAATGTTACTCAGCTGTCTGAAATGGAAACAAATGATGATGAGACACACCAGTCAGAAAATGAAGACAGTGGATCTGATACTGAAAGTGAATTTAAAGATGACAGCACATTAGTTGTGTTGAAAAATGGAATCAAAATAAGGCGCAGAAAAATTCCAAGAGTTATAAGATATGTGCGCTACAGTTTAAAGACAGACCCAGAAAATTACTATAGAGAAAAACTAATGCTGTTCACTCCATGGCGAAATGAAAGTTCTGATCTTCTGTGTGGACAGCAGAGCTTTGAGCAGTCATTTAACCAAAAGAAATTTTTCTTAACTCAGAAAATCAAACAGTATGAACACAATGCAGATATGCTTGAGCAGGCAGAACAGATGGCACAAGATGATTTGACAGAAGCATATGATGAATTAGCTCCTGGTGCTCAACAAACTGAGGCAGAAGATGAATATGAAGGAAATGTTGACTCTGAAAAATTTGTGCACTTTAATCCTGAAAGGCCAATTGAGCAGAGAGAGTATGATATAGGAAATGATGTTGGAATTCCATCAACAAGACAACTGAGTGAGCAGAGTTCTGTTAGATTACCTGATGATGAGTATTTAAAGCTTGTAGCCAGTCTCAATTTGAAGCAACGTGAATTCTTTAATCATGTTATACAGTGGATCAAATGTAAACAGGAACCTATCCATGCATATCTGTCTGGAGGTGCAGGCGTTGGAAAGTCAGTGTTAATCAGAGCACTTTATCAAGCTTTACATCGGTATTTATGTGCTAAGGAGGGAGAAAATCCAGACGATATACGAATTCTTCTTTGTGCATACACTGGTAAAGCTGCATTTAACATTGGTGGTCAAACAATTGCTTCAGCATTTCATCAGAAAATTAACCAAAGGCAACAAAACATGCATTGTGATGAACTGAACACATTTAGAACTAAATACAGAAATTTGTCAGTTGTCATCATAGATGAGATTTCAATGGTTGGCAATGCAAAGTTGCAATTTATCAACGACAGACTTCAGCTTCTTACTGGTTTGAAGAGGCCCTTTGGAGACATTAGTATTATTGCTGTTGGAGATTTCTTTCAACTTAAACCAATCATGGATGGATGGATTTTTCAGGATTTAAAACAAAATGCCCAAGCACTTGCATGTAATCTTTGGAAAGAAAATTTCACCTTATTTGAGTTAGATGAAGTAATGCGACAAAAGGATGACTTATCATTTGCACAGCTTTTGAACCGTCTTCGTCACAATGAGATGACTTCTGCGGACTTGGATATAATTCACAATTGCATCATTACTGAAAATAGTCCAAATTATCCACACAGTGCTCCCCATCTGTTTACAATGAATGCGAAAGTAGATGAATATAACAATAAACTTATAGAGCAACTTCCTGGTGAAAAAGTCATTGTGAAAGCTGTTGACAGTGTCCTTCAAGACCATAGTAAGACTGTGAAAGACCGACTACTCAGATCATTACAAAATCAAGATGATGTAAGCAAAACTGCAAACCTCATGACAAGACTAACTCTAGCCATTGGAATGATATATGACATTACAGTTAATATTGATGTTACTGATGGCTTGACAAATGGTTCATCATGTACTGTATGTCTTGTTGAAAACAGATTACCAGGTGTATCAAGGCCAAGTATAGTGTGGGTGAAGTTTTTGGATTCTGCAGTAGGGAGAAGTACTCGACAGAAATACCGCCACCTTTACCATGATGATGTTATGGATGATTGGACACCAATATTTGACTGTCAGCGATCTTTTGTTTTCAATTCAACTACATACCAAAGAATACAGTTTCCTTTAAGACCAGCTGCTGGTAAGACAATCCATAAGGCTCAGGGCTGCACTGTTGATGAAATTGTAGTGGATTTGTCTCAGTCAAGGATAAGGAAAACACCCCACATTCATTATGTAGCTCTTAGTAGAGTTAGATCTGTTGACAAGTTGCATATTCTAAATTTCAATGAGCAAGCATTAACTGTGGATGAAAAAGTTGTAGAAGAAATGGATAGAATGAGGCAGGAAGCACCTCTAAATCTGTGTTATCTTCCATTGTACAAAGCCGAGCAGAGCAAACTAAAAATTATGTTTAATAATGCAAGATCTCTTCACAAACATTTCAATGAAATTCAAAATGAACCCAATGTTGTAGCCTCAGATGTTATTGGTTTTTCAGAAACAAGATTAACCATCAATGATGAACAGAATTTTATGATGGAAAGTTACTTTACTTTGTTTAATCATGAAGAGAGAAGTGACAGAAATCGTCCTCATCATGGAACAGCATTATATGTTAAAAAGGACCATTTGATGACATGTATCTCAAAATTCAGCAACACTTTGCTCGAGTTCATCATAGCTTTAGTTAATTTCAGAGACTTTGGAGAAGTGCAGATAGTTGTTTTCTACAAGTTCCCAGCATGTTCTTTTAAAGAATTTGAACGTGAAATTATGTTGCACTTAAAACCTTTTGTAGACACAGAGAAAAAATTGATAATTCTTGGAGATTTCAATTTTGTTTTGTTTACAGGTCACAAAGAATTTCTGAACTTTATGAAGTTGAATTTAAAATGCACACAATTGGTAAAAAAGGTAACTCATGATTTAGGTTCACAACTTGATTTGATTTTCACAAACTTCCCTCACAGTGAAACTGATGTAATTGAGGCATATTGGTCAGACCATAAAATGGTGTACTGTACATTATAAATCTGATATTAGGGACGCATGAGTACTTATTTGGGGGAGATACGTCTTCTTGTCCCCTCTCCCACCTACCATTGTGCCAGTGTCACTTTGTGACATTTGGTACATTGGTTACTGTATACAGGGTAATATTCGCCCTGTGTTATTTTCATCCTTTCGCACAATTTTGCAACATTTTAAAATCACCCAGTAACAATTTTGTTGAAAAAATCAACTGTGTTCTTTTAATTTTCCCCGTTTTAAATATGTCTTCTTCTAAGATGGATGACGGGCAAAAGTATAAGGGGGAGGGGGGGGGGGGGCGAATATTTCCCTGTATACAGTATCTTATAGGCACCAATTACTTGATGTAAAATTTTGTTTGTTTTTACACATATGTATACTTAAAACTATATTTATGTGCATGGAATAGCCCCAAAAAAAACTCATTAATGATTACAAAACAATTGGACTTTAAAAGTTTTGTGAAACAGTAAACCTTCATTGTGACTTTTATTGTTGATAAATTTTCAACAGACAATTAATAAATGTATGAAATAATTGAATGTTGCATGTTAAGGAAAATTCCTGTACATCAGTGACAATCATTCATGTAAAATAAATGATGATCATTGTATTATTTGTTAAAGTTTATATATTATATATGTATATACTGTATTGATGTTTGAGTTAGACTTTTAGCCTTACTGTTTAAATTCTTCTTTTTAATGATGCATGAACATCATGAACTTGGTTTTTTCAAAATACCCAGAACATGAAATATTTTGAGATTACATGAATTGTTAATGGAGGCAAGTATATAAAGTTTGATATATTAATCAAAAGAAATTAATAAGTTCTGCTAAATAATGATTTGAGTTGTTCTAGAAATATACACTTGCATCAAGTAATTGGTGTCTTTAATATAAGTTCAATGCTGTATTTTATTATAGTTTTATAAAGTGTATTCACCAGATATCATCTGTTCATAAAAAAAAATTTCTGTATAGAAATATGGTTAGTTTATTAATGTTACTTTGTCTTGTGACATTTAGTCCATACAGAACAATACTTGAGTACATGAGAGTATAAACTTTAACAGTGTATATGAATTAATATTTTCCCAGAACAAATGCAATAACAATATCACTGTCAATATTCTTATCATGAATGTAATTCAAGTCTTTATGTAATTACTTTATAATCAACCTTATGCAGTATTGTAGATGTTACAATTGCTGAGGTTTTAAACAGGCTGGGTGGTCAACAAATTAACCGATAGATGCACCTGTTTTGAAATAATGTTCATTGTATATATGAAACTTTGTGGTGAAATATTTTGACTTGATTATTTATCTTTTTTTGCTTTCTTGTGTTAAAATGTTTAAGTTGATTGTATTTTTGTATTTCAAAACATTCAGAAATTGCTTTAAACATGTTAAACATTTACTTTTACTTACACTTTAGTTACTTAAGTAGAATAGGAAAGCAACCTGCATAATCAGACAGTAACTGACAATTCATTCTGAGTTACTGGTATATTGCTAATTTCAGTTAACTCCATGTTATTTTTTCCTTAAATATTCTCCAGCATTGAGATATTTAATTTGTGACCACCATTAATATTATAACCTAATGAGAATGAATTTATATATTAAAAACTTATACCCAGGTAAGTATGAAAAGAGGGGGTCAATGGACAGCCCGTAAAGGGAGGTAAACCTACCTCTTTATAAAATTACAGTTTCTCCTATAAAGGAGAGGAAAAAAAGGTGGATCACTATAATTTCTCATGACTGGTCTTAAAAAACAAAATAATCGATTGCAAAAAGATCTTAATTACATATGTGTATTCCATTTTGGAATATTACCTAAAAGTTTAGGAAATCTGATTCATGCAGGTACTCCAAATAAATGTTACTCGTTAAAAATTCTTTAAAATTCAAAGTCAGAGTCTGTTGACCATCAAACATGTATTCATTCACTTCCAGTTGCAATCTTTCCAAGTTTCGCTTTCGTTATGTATAGGAAAGATTTACTATTAAGTGAACTTTAATAAATACAGTGTATTTTGTATCTTTCAAATGATTACTTTGATGTATTGAAATTTCCTGTAAAAAATGTTATGCATTTCTGTCACAAATTTTTGCAATATTACATATTTGATATTGTGTGTATATTTGTTTGTTGAATTCATCTAAAATTTAGATAGTTGGTTGTTATTAATGCTTCTTAGTTTTTATCATACTGTATTATCTACTTATTGTCTGATAAATTTTTAGCAAGTCTGTTGAATTTTGTTAATAAATAAAACTAAAATCTTATTCACATTTTCTGTTTTTATTATACAACTATCATAGCTAATTTACACCCCCCCCCTAAAAAAAAAAAAGAAAAAAAGATTTTTCATGGGCAAAGAAATCTTCATGTCTCCCTCACTATTATGCAATAGTTTTATAATGTTAGCATATTAGACTTAAGAGTTGACAGTACAAGTGCTATATTTTGCAGAAATACTGAGATTGACCTCTTTATGACTAAATTGATAATGAGGTAGGCATTAAGCAGTGATTGAAAAGAAAGTCTGATCCTTAGCAATTTTATACTCGTATCAAGCCCAATTACAGTGAATAGATAGAGGAAGTTCTTACTCTAACATCTACATGCATAATTCTTGCAAGTATTGAAGGATTTTCACTCAGGTGAGCGATGTGGCCCCTGGGCCTCTTGTTGTTTATTTTGACGATTTACAGATTGTCACAGCTAAGCGCACGTGTTTCATGGCAATGTATGGGGGTGCCGATTGGGAATATCTCGAGGTACTCAGTAACTAAACACTGCCGTGATCAGAAAAATCTTGTTTCTTTAATTCAATGTTCAACAAGTGTTAATTTTGATTGAATTTATCGTGGAAATTGAATGTTTGTTATGTAATCTATTTATAGAATTAAGTTCTAGAGGTACAGGGTGTATACTCGCATCAATTTTTTAGGAAAAAAAAAGTTTAACAAAGTTTTCGAGTAAATTACAAGTAAATTCATGAATATTTTTTGAAATAAAATAAAATTCATTTATTTTGAGGAGAATTAGATAATTATAAGTAATCAAATTAAGGGGGAAAAAATTAAATAAAATTACTGTCAACAAATTTGCATGCCCTTGGTGCTCACTGCGATCACTTTGGACATCAAATAATTTTCATTGTTCACTGCGAACAAAGTTTATTGTAGCGGTCAGAAAAGGATTTGGTGCATTTCCTAGAGTCACGACCATTGGTAGTTCCACAGGAAGAGGCACGAAGTATAGCAGTTTTGGTCTCCGACATTAAAGGCATTCGATTGGAGCAGATAAGACAGAATACATCCTTGCCACTCGTCTTCCTGTATAAGAAGGGGGCAACAACCAAGGAGCTTGTAGACCTATTGATACAAGAGTTCCCTCATCTTACTAAAGGACACAAGCCAGTAACGGTCTACTTTTGGGGTGGAACTTGTGACATAACAGAAAAACAAGGAAAATATATAAACATTCGTGGTAAGGTGACTGATACAGTATCATCTGTTGTGAAAGAGCTTCACAGGGCCAAAGATTTTATTCTTGGGAATAACTGCCGCATTAAGTTTATTGGCATACCTATTTATTTAGTTTCCCTGTACAACGATATCAAGGGGTACCAGAATCCAACAGTATTCCTCGACTCGGACAAACAAGTTGAGATACAGGTAGATCTCCTCAATACACATATTGAACAGATAAATCAAGGTCTAGGTCGAAACACACTTAAGTTCAACGCTGACTTGTGGGACTGCAGACGGGGAAAAAAGAGATACTTTTTTGAGTTGCTATCAGACGGTTTGCACCCAGGCCATCTATTGTCTCAGAAGTGGTTACGGCGACTTGAGCTTGACATTATTAGGGAGTGTTACACCCCATGTGATACACTTGAGGTAGATGAACAAGAGTTCCTCTCATTCCAACATGACGAACAAGGCCGAAAACACTGATGATCAAATGATGAAGAATACTGATTTTGCACAAAGTGACAATGGAATAGCGACTGACAATAAAAATGAGGAAGACAATGTTTGGCTGCACAAGACACTTGAGTCTTTCATTTCTTCTTTTGACAGACAGCAGCAACATAATCAAGAATTATTTGCACAGACTATGCAAGAAATAAAAGAATCTTCAACAAAACAGATTGCCGTGCAGCAAGCCATGTTTCAGAAATTTCTTGAGGAATCAAAGGAGGAGATAAGCCATTCTCTGAGAATACCACCATTTGCTTCAACGCCGAGGCCACATGCGGCTTCGGGATTGATGCATACTGGACAGTATCCGCCGGTTAGTTCACAGGATTCGGATGTCGCTCCAACCCCAAGGTCACAAGGTAATACAACTTCGTGGTGCATGCCATCATCTCAGCCACCCTCATTTGCTGGTTATGCGCCTGACTTCACCTCAGACCGAAGGGGAACAGACCGACCATTTGATGAAACCTTGCGTGTCATTGAAGCTAGGGAAGGACAAAGACCCTCTCCTTATCAACCTAGCTCCCGAGGTGTACCCAGATCCTCAGAGAACAATCAATCTGCACCAAGCAGACTTGTCGAAATCCGTCGGTCCTGTCGGCAAGGCCGGTAAAAATTTGTCTGGACCGATAACATTTAAGAAAACGTCGGACCAGATGTCCGTTTGAAAAAAAATGAGCGTAATGCAAATTTAATAAAGGTCAGGATCGGGATGCGTAGTTCAAGGTCACAAACACAGAAAAAATGGCCGCGTACGCAGCATGTTGACGATAGCTAAGTAAATTTGTTATAGCAAAGTCATAAAACTTGTCATTTATGTCTATGTTAAAGACTCTCTATCCCAAGAAAGGAAACTTGTTAGATTAAAGGCTATTGAAAATAATAAAGTACATTTTGGTGCTGTTATTCATATGATTTTACCAGCATCAAAAAAACGTACAAGTATCTGGTCTGACAAAAGTTTGACTGGTCCGACAAAACATTCGACTGTGTCAGACCAAATGTCTGAAAGCGATTAAAAAATTTCGACAAGTCTGACCAAGAGGTCCTCAGACTAAACTCCCGACGTATGAAGGCAAGGAAGAAATTGAAGTTTTCCTCGTTCCATTTGAAAGACTAGCGGAGCGGTACAACTGGACGGAAACCGAGAAAATAGACCGCCTCTATGAAAGTCTGAAGGGTAAGGCAATGTGGTATGTTTGCTCCTTGCCTAAAGCGATGACAGCCAACTACATCTCAATACGTGATAGCCTAACTAAACGCTTCGGGCGGAAGGACCCTCCAGCCACTGTTCGCAGGAAACTGACCGAGATCCGACAAAAGGGAGAATGAAATGATGAGTTTGGTGAAGAAGTGCGTCGCTTAATTACCCAAGCTTATCCTGGTACTGACTTGGAAATGCAAGATCAACTTGCTGCTGAATCTTTCTTAAGAGGATACCGCAATACCCGGATTGCATATGATGTGCTAAACAGAAACCCTAAGACACTTAATGAAGCGATAGAGCTCGTCACATATCAAGAGCACAATTACAGGGCCACTGTGGGACGAGATAATGACTATCAGAGGCGAGAAAGGACTAGGAGGGTAACCTGGACAGATGATTCTGATGATGATGGACCTCCTGATGATGAGGCAGAGATTCTTGGAGTGCAGCGGATTCAGAAACCCACATATATTACCATGGAGCAGCTAGACAACCGTCTTAAGCAAATAGAGTCGCAACTTAAACGGAACCAGGAGAGAGAGAGAGAATGAAACGAGACCACCTACTAAAGGATATAGAAAGTAGATGTTTTCAATGTGGACAGACTGGGCACTTCAAAAGTGACTGCAAATCTCGACCCCAAACAGTCAAAATGCAGGAACAGAAAATGCCAACAGTAAAGGAAGAGACATCAAAGACAGCAGAACAAATCAAGTGCACAAGGCTTCATGGAGCTGGGAAGGGAATCGTAATCCCTGTCTTTGTGAATGATGTCCAGACCAAAGTGTTGTGGATACTGGTGCGGATGCTACTATTGTCTCTTCTACCATTGCCCAAGAGGCAGGGATTGTTACGAGTAACTGCCAGCAAGTTCGACTCATGAATGCAGAAGATGGTGCAGAGATGACTGCATTTGGAGGTGTCACTGCAACAATCCAAATTGGCAGCCAACCAACCCGATGGCCAGTATATGTTGCACCCATACGGGATTCTGTTTTGATTGGAATGGATATTCTCAACTCCCTAGAAGCTGTTATATTCACAGGTCAAGGTAACCTTCGCATTGGAAAAGAAATAATATCTGGAACACTGAGCTGTGATAACAGTTACCCAGCTTGCAGCTCTGTAATGGTCGATGAAAGCTGTTGGATACCTCAGAGTGAGAAGATTATTGTTGGAAGAGTTCAAGTACCCCAAAGTGGTCTATTGTCTGTCTTAGACAGTTGCAATGATGATCTTCCTAATGATGTTTTGGTTGGATCTTGCTTAGTCAATATGAAGGACAAAGTACCTGTTTGGGTTTTAAATGTCAGAGATAAGAAAATTCGCCTTTCTAAGGGAACCCATTTGGGGAAGTTGACAGAAGTGAGTGAGGATGCTGATGCAGTAAGTGTAGATGCAGCACATAAAGTGAAGTTGAAGAAACGATAGGTAGACAAGCTGAAAATGGAAGTGTACCAGCCCACCTAGTAGAGCTGGCAGAGAAATCATCCAAGAATATGACTAAATCGGAACAACAGGCACTTGTCAGCTTACTCTCTGAATTTGAGGATATTTTCTCTAGAGAGGACTATGATCTTGGCACTTTTACTGCAATTAAACACCAAATCAACACAGATGGAGCAAAACGTATCAGACAACCTGCGAGACGAACACCTCTAAGTTTCCAGAGTGAAGAAGCTGAATATTTGAAAAAACAGTTGGAAAATGGTGTGGTAGTTCCCTCAAGTTCTGCATGGGCATCTCCTGTAGTGTTAGTCCGCAAAAAGGATGGTGGAGTACGCTGGTGCGTGGACTATCGGAAGCTAAACGAAGTCACACAGAAAGATGCATATCCCCTGCCTAAGATTGAGGAGTATCTGGACACTTTAGGGGGATCCAAACTGTTCTCCACACTTGACCTTATGAGTGGGTATCACCAGTTTGAAGTTCTTGAAAGTGACAGACCCAAGACTGCTTTTATTACCAGGCATGGCTTGTTTGAATACACACGAATGCATTTCGGGCTCTGTAATGCGCCCTCTACTTTCCAGCGAGGAATGGAACTGGTTTTAAGAGGACTTCAATGGATCATCCTTCTCATCTACCTAGATGATGTAATCATCACGGGGAGTACATTTCATGAGCACTTAAGTAATCTAAGAAAGGTGTTTCTCCGATTTCGGAAATTCGGACTAAGTTAAAACCGAAAAATGCAGCTTATTCCAAGAGGAGGTCGTATTTTTGGGTCACGTCAGTAAGGATGGTGTTCGTGCGAATCCCCTGCTGATTCAAGATGTGCAGAGATGGCCAATTCCAGGAAGCCTAAAGGAACTCCAAGCCTTTTTAGGGTTGAAGAACTATTATCGCAGATTTGTGAAAGGGTACGCTGATATAGCTCGTCCATTACACAACCTCACACGCAAAGGTATACCGTACCAATGGGGTGAAGAACAAGCGACAGCATTTGAGGAGCGAAAAATTGCACTTACTTCAGCTCCAGTCCTTGCATACCCACTTGCTGAGGGTACAATGATTCTCGACACAGATGCTTCCAATTTCAGCATTGGAGCGGTCCTCTCTAAAGAACAGGATGGCGTTGAAAAGGTGATTTCCTTCTCCAGCAGACGCCTGGGACCTGTACAGGAGCGGTACTGCGTCACTCGACGAGAATTACTGGCAGTGGTTGCCTTTTGTCACCAGTACAAGCATTATCTTTTAGGCAGAAAATTCCTACTCAGAACTGACCACAGCAGTTTGGCATGGCTATTCCGCTTTAAATCACCTCAAGGTCAACTGGCTCGGTGGCTCGAAGAATTGAGTCGGTATTCTTTTGTCATTCAGCACCGAGCAGGAAGACCTCATGGCAATGCATACGCCTTATCTCGGCTAGACACGACAACTTGTGATTGTTACAGTGCTGGTTCTTGCTCCAAGTCGTTACCTTGTGGTGGGTGTGCATACTGCCAGAGAGTTGAAGAGCAGTGGGAGAGATTTACAGAGGATTGATTATATTGTACCGTTGACAGTTCGTGAAGTAACACCCTCTGAACCTGCTACTTGTAACTGGTTGGAAAAGGATAAGGATAAGATTTGAACATAAGATGTATTTTAAAAGAGAGATTGATGACAAAATTAGTCCCGAACAATCCGGTTGCACTGACGGAACATCTCTTTCCTGTTCTCAACCCCAGTTACTGAAATCTTTCTTTTCTGGACAGCTTTCAATGCCTCTCCTGGAAAGTAATTTTTGAAGGTTATAGTTACACAACAATGATGCAAATATATCTGAGAACTGTTTAAATTAAATCATCATATATATCACTATATGGTACGATGCATTTTACTCTACTTACTTTAAATGGATATATTTGCTTTAGTCATTGTTAATAAGGGAAAGTTAGAAAGCTATACATATTTAACATTTCATTTCTAACCTTTTCCACAATGCAAAACGAGGTTTCCTTCTTCCCCAATGAACTTTCCACCACTCAGGAGTTTCTCATAGAACTGCAGTATAGAGTTTCCTTAATTAATTCGGGCATGGTACTTCTCCTTGTTAGCAGGCACACATTTGCCTTCAAGGAGGGTAGAGATATTTAGACGAAAAATTGTAATAATTCGACTGTAAATTATTTTATGACATTCCAATGAAAACAAAAAGAGTCTTTAAATTACATATGTTCAATGCATAAACTCATCTTAAATGTATAATTATATAATAGTAGTATAATTGTATTGATTTGAACTTATACGTAACTGATTGTAAATATTTAGAAACATTTCAATATTTATATGGTTCGGAATATCCATATCAATTTTAATTAATGTACTTACTGGCTTTATTGTGAAACACAATGACAACCTTCTTCTTTGAAGGATACATAAGCTCCAGAGCTTTAAGGAGATCACTCACTTCCTTCCATGATGAGGTAAGAGGTACTGACACATCTTCACTTAAGCATGGGAGGTCCATTGTAATGCGAAGGAGCTGTTGCCATTCCGACTGAAATTTCATGTCAATACCCATATTACACAAAAGTTCAAATTATTTTAAAAGTGCATTTTACTGAAAGAAGAATTATTATTTTTGCAATATATTGGTAGTTATCTCTCACATAAAAATGACTTCATTTTAAATTAGCTCGAGCCAAAGACTCAAGTGAGCCAGGAATCTGACCTCCAGATGATGTAATGTGTCATTTGTAATCTTTTGTCTATAACATTGTTACTTCTCTGAAATCATATATACACTCTGAATAAGTACCTTTGCTCATTGTAGATGATCCAAGTTATGGTGTTAGAATCATAAATGACAATAAAGCTGATTTTCAAATCATATTAGTAAATGCGATCATACTTTGTGATATTTCTTCATATACATCTTTATAATTGCATATTCTCAACATAAAGCAATACCTGTTTTCTTGCCTTGAGGCATTTCACAGGCCATGGCTGGTTCCAGGGTCTTGCCGATGTTGTCCAATTGCATGAACATAAATGTTTTTAAGAGGGACTGCCTTCTTTGTCGCATTTATGCAGATCCAGCACCATTTACTGACTCTTGCTATTAAAACGCCACAGTCAGCACCTCTAAACAATACACATGTAAGATCATCATTTATGAACATGGTGTATAAAAATCAGACACAGGATCATAAAAATCTGGAGCTTCGAAATGTTTATTTCCCTGCTTCAACAAAGCGATGGGTTTTCATTGATTTAAAACATATAAAACTCTCTAACTGATAGAGCTCATATTTCCCATACTTGATACTTTAAGTAATTTTTTTCTAGTTTTTGAGAAACAATAGAAGGAGCTCTCAAAATTTCAAATAAATAAATAATTGATGAAGTAATATCATTCAAAACAAAATTTAAAAAAAACGTTTTTGAGGAATAAAATGTACAACCAGCATTATAAAATACAAATTAATAACGTTTTCATAGCTCGATCTTTTGTTAATAAAAAGAACTTGGTCAGTTCTCTCAGTTCATAAAAAGTACACAAGTACAATTTTGAGACACATTTAAAAACAAGCATGACATAAGTATCTTTTGGATGTACTAGAGTGTCCATCTAAACGAATATTATATTGAATTCCTTTTCTCTATCACAAGTAACAGCTTTTTTCTGCATGAAGAGTGATAAACCTTTCGAGCAATACTTTTGTGGGTTTAAAGGGGCGGGGGGAAGGGGTTTGCAGCCATTTTCAGACTATTTCAATCTCCTTTAGAAGAAGAGCTCCATATAAAGATAGCTTACTAGTGACATTTGGCGCGAAAAGAGCGATTCACCCCTGCCGTAGAATATAAATGGACTGATCCAGTAGTATAGAAATGCAGAAAAAAGGATACGCGGAGACGTTGAAACGGCGAATCAATGGAATAATCTGTTCCATGCAAAAAGATTAAAGGAAGTAAACACTGCAGTAATTTGAATCAGTAATATTCTTTTTCTGAAAACTGCAGGTAAAGCATTCTAATGTTAATCAGCTTGCACAAAATCTAGCTCTCTAGGTATGATCGCCCAGTTTCGGATCTTGGAAATATCAATCCTTATACAGCCTGACGCCGTGACGTCATGCAATAATGTTCTTGCAAACATCCGAAAATTGTCAAAGAGGGTGCACAGAACATGTCTAAGAATGAACATCATGAGAAATTTTACTTTTTAAAACAGAATTTTTCAATGTATTGAAATTATTTTTGTAAATAAGCATGAGACAGATTCTTAAATACATCGTTCACATGAAGTTTCAGACATTTCTACTGTACTATTAACATGTCTCTCCCTTACCATCAGACACTTCTTGCCAACAAATTGACAACCCTAGTAGAAAGTACACTTCAATTCCATATGGAAAACCACTTCGAGATATACCCCTCCAGACAGCTCTTATACCAGCAGTTAAAATGTATCTTGTGGGGGTGACGAATAAACACGATCCTTTAAATGTCCCCAAGACAGTTGGCTAAAGAGTTTAGATCGGGTGAATGTGGTGATCACTCGATATTTGAACGAAGGGATATAAAGTTTTCTCCAAACATGTGAGACAGTCATTCAAGCACAATGTTTGCGGTGAGAGGAGTTGCACCTGCTGAAACCATGCTTCGTTAATTTCTATTCTTCTCATTAGCCCAGGGAGAAATTTTGTTCTCGGAATAGCCAGGTAGCGTTGAGATGTTGCCGTTGTTGTTTTACCATCTTCATAGAAAAAAGGGCCTATGAAACCGGTACTGCTAATTGCCGCCTAAACTGTTACCTTCTGGCTATGTAATAGTCTCTCTTCATAGAAGACAGGCTTTGAAGTTCCCCCAAAACACATGTTTTGCTTGTTAACAATTAACATGTCCATCAAGTGTTAAATGTGCTTCATCTGAGAACCATATCACGTCGGTTAAAGAAATGTTTTTCAACATCCACTTCGCAAAACAAAGATGGAGGAAATATCGGTATTTTTAGGTCACCTGAGTAAACTCAGGTGACCTATTGCTATCTGTTTTCGTCCGTCGTCGTGCGTCGTTCGTCGTGCGTCATGTGTTAACATTTGAACATTTTCAGCTTCTTCTCTGCAACCACTCAACCAGTTTCAACCAAATTTGCCATAAAGCATCTATGAATGAAGGGGAACAAAAATTGTCATTTTCATGGTCCTTGCCCCCCTGGGGCCTGAGGGGTGGGGCCAAAACCACTAAAATTAGTGCAATCTTTAAAAATCTTCTTCTTTACTCCTGGACATCAAGCAGTCAAACTGTTAGCATGAATGTAATGAACATTGAGTTCTCTACCAAAATTGTGAAATTCATGGCCCCAGGGTCAGGGGTTCTAGTGCTAGGGTGGGGCTATATTGATTATATAGTGAAAATACATTATTTCTTTAAAAATCTTCTCTGCTCCTGGGTATTAAATAAACTAAGTACATAGTTATGATGAGGAAGAATGCCTTTTGCAAAAGTGTGAATTTTATGGCCCCAGGGTCAGGGGTTCTAGTGTTCGGCTGGGGCTCTATTGATTATATAGCGAAAATGCAGAATTTGTTTGAAAATCTTCTTCTCTGCTGCTGGGTATTCAACAAACTAACTAAGTAGAAAGTTATAATGAGCAAGAATGCCTCTTCCAAAATTGTGAATTTTATGGCCCCAGGGTCAGGGGTTCTGGTGTTAGGGTGGGGCTCTATTGATTTTACAGAGAAAATGCAGAAATTGTTTGAAAATCTCCCCTGCTCCTGGGGTATTTAACTAATGAACTAAGTATATAGTTATGATGAGCAAGAATGCCATTTCCGAAATTGTGAATTTTATGACCCCAGGGTCAGAGGTTCTGGTGTTAGGGCAGGGCTCTATTGATTTTACAGAGAAAATGAAGAAATTGGTTGAAATTTTCTTCTCCACTCCTTGGTATTCAACAAATGAACTAAGTATAAAGTTAGAATGCAAGAATGCCTTTTCCAAAATTGTGAATTTTATGGCCCCAGGGTCAGGGGTTCTGGTGTTAGGGTGGGGCTCTATTGATTATATAGTGAAAATACATTAATTCTTTGAAAATCTTCTTTATTGCTACTGGGTATTAAATAAACTAACTAGTAAGTATATAGTTATGATGAGCAAGAGTGCCTCTACCAAAATTATAAATTTTATGGCCCCAGGGTCAAGGGTTCTGGTGTTAGGGGGGCTCTATTGATTATATAGTGAAAATAGATTATTTCTTTAAAAATCTTCTTCTCTGTCCTGGGTATTAAATAAACTAAGTACATAGTTATGATGTGGAAGAATACCCTTGTGAATTTTATTACCCCAGGGTCAGGGGTTCAGGTGTTAGGGCGGGGCTCTATTGATTATACAGTGAAACTAGATTATTTCTATAAAAATCTTTTTCTCTGTTCCCGGGTATTAAATTAACTAAGTACATAGTTATGATTTGGAAGAATACCTTTGTGATTTTTATGACCCCAGGGTCAGGGGTTCTGTTGTTAGGGCGGAGATCTATTGGTTATATAGAAAATGCAGAAATTGTTTGAAAATCTTCTTCTCTGCTCCTTGGTATTAAGCAGATGAACTACCTATATAGCTATGATGAGCAAGGGCCATTCTTCCTGAATTGTGAATTTCAACGCCCCTAGGTCAGGGGTACCATAGGGGGGGGCTCTACTTATATACTGGAAATGAATTAATTGATTGAAATCTTCTCCTTTGTATTAATCAAATATTTTTGATAAGTAAGGGTGCCTTTTCCAAAATAGTGATATGTGTGGGCCAAGGGGTTCATGTGTGGTAGGGGCACTTTACTGATTATTGCTGAATGATACTGGTTAGTTGAAATGCATTTTTTTGTTCCCCTACCCTGTCTGTAGGTATTAAGTAACCAAACTAAACATGCTAAGTGTATAGTTATGATTAGCAATGGTGCCTCTTTCAAAATTGTGAATGCCATGACATCTAGTTTAAAACATGATCCAAAGTCAATCGTTGTAAAGTTGTTGCATGATGCTCAGGTGACCTGTAAGGCCCATAGGCCTCTTGTTTTAATAGTTATATTCTAAACTTCTATAAGCAAATGAGGAACTTCTTTAAGCAAGTTCACTAATACTCTTCTCACTGATTTCTGTGGTGTTTCCTTGATGATTGTCTTCACCATTTCGATATTTGCGTCTTACCACCCAGTTCTTGTCCATATAGGCGTGTCTTTTCATCTGTCACCCAAAGTCAAATTTTGACACAATCCGAAAAATCGGTTTTCAAGTGAGAAACTTTTCCATCTGGATACTTTTTAAAAACAAATTGCGTAATCCAGTTTAACAAAATCAGTGTAGAGATCTCTTTTATCTTCCATTTTTAAATTCCAGACTACCTTACTTTTGATGATGTAATCAAAACCTTAAAATGAGTAATTATGATGTCATAATATTTTATATTCATATTTTAATACAATTTGTTTACTTAATTTAAAATTAACACACGTTTCAAAATGACATAAAATAAGTTACCCTGGTAATATAAATAACAAGATAATTAACTTTTAAGAAAAAAAGTAAAGCAAATATTCCGAGTTCTAGCATTTTCTTAAGATTGCAGCAATGCGTTTAAGAAAATTAAAGTTAATGGCCAAGTTCCGCAATGTTTTTTTAATACGAGTTATCGTCCCTAACTGTGAAGCTCTCCACTTCCGGGGCGTCAATACACAAAGCAACAAAATCGCTGAAGCAAGAAGCGTCGAGAAAATACACACTATCGGTATCGAGGACACTGACAAGCCAGGTAAGGGATTTAAATAGCGGTCGTATTTAGGATGTTACACTGGTTTACGATGCATATTAATATAAAAGCAGTACAGAGTTGGTTCTTGAATCTAATACACATGCAACAACCATAAGGATCTAGTATATTCTAGAAAAAAAAAATGTCAATATTTATAAAGGTCTATATACATATATCTATTTTTTTAAAGTATAGAATTTATTTTTATTCGACGAGGAATGAATATTTACAGCTGTCAAGTTGTGTTCATAAGAAAATCTAACATTGCCCCCCCCCCCCCCCGTTGTGTAAAAGGCATTGTTTAATTCGCAAAACAATTCAGTAACATGTAAATAATTTTGAATTCATAACATAATTTATTTTAAAAGGACATGAATGTCAATTGTAACATTTTTTTTTAAAAAAAAATTCCTTTTTAAGTACTTTACAATGTACTTTTTATTTTCCAGTATGGGGAAGAAATATTGCTGCGTTCCTGGATGCAGCAACACTTCTCAAACATTGGATGAATATGGAAATAAAATAATATTGCATCGCTTCCCTATGTCGGAGAAAAAGGCCCATATTAAGCGTCTCTGGATTCAGCGACTTCGACATGTGAGAGCAAATTTGGTTGTAAAAGACCACACACGAGTTTGCAGTGTTCATTTTGAGGGAACATTTACTGAGGAATCGATTCCCACAATTTTTCCAAGTAAACCCAAAAAGGAAACAAAATCCCGAAGACCTCTTGTAAGAAAAATTGAAAATTCATTTCAAAATGATGGTTCAGGGCAAAGTGATACTGAAAATCCACAAGATAATCCTGTGTCAATGTACAATGATGTTGCAATACAAACTGACCTCAAATATTTTTATTCAAAAGATGCGTACACAAATACAGAAGAGCATTGTGTACATGTTTCAACTGCAACCCAGACGACTGGCAGCCCTTTGTCTACTGTTAATGCTGAAGTTCAGGCAGATTTGCCTAGGATGACATATGAAGATATGAAAGATGACGATTCTAAAACAAGATTTTATACAGGTTTTGCAACTTTTCAAATTTTTTGGATGTTTTTTGCAGTGCTGAAGCAGAAACATGGTGCAGAGAAACTCAATTACTGGGAGGGAGAGACAAGGTCCATGGGTGAGAAGTCGTATCATGAACCAGGGGTTAAAAAGCCTGGCAGAAAACGTTCCTTGAGACCAGTGGATGAATTCTTGATGGTTTGCATGAGACTTCGTTTAGGGCTGCTTCAGGAACACCTTGCTGATATTTTCAGGGTGTCCGAAACGACAGTATCACGAGTAATGAACACTTGGATTAACTTCCTCTATGATCACTGCAAATCCTTAATAAAGTGGGTCTCCAGAGAGCAGATTTTGTGTAACTTACCAAAGCTTTTTAGCATGCACGCAGATACTAGAATTGTGCTTGATTGCACAGAATTTTTTATTGAAAAACCGTCCTCTTTAAAGGCACAGTGGATGACGTGGTCCGAATACAAACATTCAAACACTTTTAAAATATTGATTGGTGTGTCACCAAGTGGTATGGTAACCTTTGTGTCAAGACTGTGGGGTGGGAATGTGTCAGACAGACACATTACTCAGCACGATGGATTTCTTCCAAAACTGTCACCAGGTGATGTTGTAATGGCAGATAAAGGTTTCACAATAGAAGATTTGTTACCAGCTGATGTTGGATTGAATGTTCCACCACGAGTATCAAGTACATGCCAGATGTCAAAACATGATTTCTTTAAAACAAATAGAATAGCTTCAGCCAGAATAGTAGTTGAAATGAAGATGGAACAGATCAAAAACTACAATATTGTGAACTCAGTTTTACCAATTTCAGAAGTGCACTTATCAGAACAAATTATAGTTATCTGTACATCTTTAACTAACTTATTGCCTCCACTTCTGAAGTGACATAAATATAATTAACTAGATTTTTTTCTGGATGCCCTAACATGTATAATTATTTTTATTCCTGTTATGAGGAAATTTACTTTCCAGGAATTATTTTTTTAAATGCATGATTAAAAAAACACATTTAAAGTATATCACATTTTGTGGTTTTCAAGGTGATGTGAATTTTGACGATTCGATGTGAAATACAAACATTCATTTGAAAATAAACTTGAAATATGTACACTTGGACCTTGAAATCATAAATGAGATGTGGATAAATAAAATAAATCACATAACCTTTTTGTTTTTATTCAATATTTTTACAGATGAATCTAAGCTCTCATGCAAATATAAAAGTTTCAGAGTGTTAACAGTTTTATGTACACATGTTCAAAATCAAATAGAATCATTCTATGCAATATTCAAATTATTAACAAATGTACATCAAATGTTATACATGTACAGTGATTTTCCTCGCTGAATTCTTCTAGTGAAAAGTTCTGGTACAACACCATATGTATAAAAAGATTTCATCTTTGGAACCATATCATTCCAGATTCCAACATCAAAAAGAATTCTTTCAACAGATATACCTTTTTTTGTATAAACAACAAAATCAACCCAGTTAAGTTCATATAATGCTAGCTGGCCTTGAACTTGGTACATATAATTATGGTTCTGTTTTAATTTAAGTTCACCATTGTTTTCAGTGCAAAAAAAATGTTTATCTTGTCCACATTTTGTCGGAGGCATATTCCTCCAAGGACTTTTTTGTTTTCCATAAGGACACTTGACTTCGACAAGTCCTGTACCACATTCTACACAAGTAACAAGTCCATCAACACTGGCCCCAAGGAATGGGTACTTAGGGTTGACATATAGTCCACAGGACTCGATCTTCACATCACCACACAAATTTAAATGTCGCTCCATATAATCACTCAAAGCAACAGATTCATTTGTTCGACCATAACTGATACTTTTTACACAATCTGGTACTACTACGTATCCACAAATTTTCTTGACTAAATTGTCTGGTTCGGACTTTACTCTTTTGACAACGTCACCCATTACTGATGCAGTAATGATATTGCATCTAGCCTTTCTCCAGTTAACATTTGAATTTTGACCTCTAGTTCCCTTTTCTAACAGTTCACTAACCTCTGTTGTTATATTCATATTGTTTACAAAAGATTTAAAATTTTCAACACATTCTTTTGATTTTAGATTTACATTGTCCCTATACATAAAATCTGGCAAAAAAATATTCAAAAAGGAATCTATATTAACATGCTCTGCTCTTAAAGTTTGATACAAGACACATTGTGGGTAAATATCTTTTAAGCCATCCAAAATATCATTCAAAAATGAGCTGCATTCACTTTGACAAGGTCCAGGATTATAAATGCCTGGGAAAGGACGAACTTTGTCTACAATATTATCTTTTTCTGTTTTTGAAAAACTAATATCTCCAACTCTTTTTGGACTTGGTTTTCTTCTCAAAGGTGTAGGTCTATTCCACACATACTGATTAGATGTACAGGAATTTTTTGTTTTTACAAGTACATACAATAATGCTCCAACATGAGCACAAAGACCTGCCTCTCCGGCTTTACAATTACATAAAGCATTTACAACAATGCCTGACTTTTTCTTTATACAAACATTCAAAGAATAATATTTAGCACTTTTTCCAAATCCAACTTGAACAGTCTGTTTCATTGATGGAAGACAAGTTGATCGCATGTAACAAAAATCACTGTTTCCTTTATTGTATTCAATTTCTCTTATGAACCCTTCATTGCACAGACGCTTTGCTTTTTTCATTTGTCTCTCGAAATTTAACCTTTCTCCAGTTACAGGATTTTTATGACATTTAAAATAAATATCAATGGCCTTATGAGAAATTTCAGGAATATCAGTAGAGTCAAGTTCTTTCCATGAATCTGTTGAAGGATGAACAGGAACAGTTTTCTCTATTTCTTCATCTGTATCTATGAAATCTTCTGATGAATCATAACCATGCCTCATGGCTTTGTAAACTCTCTTTGCCAATACCTCTTTATTCCCAGATTTTTTAAGCCTGTGATTTTCAAGCCAATTTTTTAGTTCAACAACTTTCCATGACTGAATTTCTTCTAGAGACAAGTGAGATGGTTCACCTTCATCATCAGTGCTTGAAGACATTCTGAAACATTCAATATTGTATATTAATACAGATTCAGAAAACACACAGTGCCCAAATAACTTAAAAGGGTTTCATAAAAATTGAATGTAATTAGGATCCCAAGATGTAATTTATGTAAACAATTATTGATATCATATCAATATCATATAAAGACATAATCCGAGATTCCCCTGACTCTAACCCCTGCTTTTATTTTATGACATGTGCGGACAAACGTCATAAAATAAAAGCGGGGGTTAGAGTCAGAGGAATCTCGGATTAATAAAGACACCCCCTTTTTTCAGAATTAAACGCTGTTGGATGGTCACATATTCAATTATTCCGACAATATTACATTACTGTTAATATTAAACAGTTATTAAATCATAATTTCAATGTCATCTACATTCGGTTCGAACAGGGTCGATCTTAGACCTTGCAATAGCCAATTCAGTTGAATATTTAAATGCCACGCGAAAACGCTGAGCATTTATATTTTATTATTTGTATACCATTTACCACGTTTAGATAATGGTTATAAATCTTTAAATAAATTAATTATACAGATATATCGCAAATCTTACCTTGGTATGTCCTTGTCTAACGCAGAAATTGCAATTATCAGTACTGTGAGTACACAACACAAGTTGAACAACAAACGCCCCGGAAGTCAATGTGTTGGCGACATCTAGCGATTTTTCAAGAGAGATAACTCCAGAAATAAGACATTGCGGAACTCAGCCATTGTAACGTTGCAACTGTCCGCGAAACTGGGTCTAAAATTCAGAAATCCTCTGGAAAAACTGGATACCTAGGTTCTGTGTGTTTACATAGTTTTGATCGATTTCACACAGGATGGTCTGGATTTCTTTGGGATATCTTCGGAATGAGTCACATGAACAGGAGCCTCCAGCGTGGCACAGTGGTTAGAGCATCTGCTCTAGAGTCGCGAAGTAAGGAGTTGATCCTTACGTCGCGGGTTCGAATCCCTATGTCGGACGTGGAGACCGGTCCTTCAATGAGACCGTGGAAACCGTAGGTGCTGGAACGAAAGAGATCCCTCACTTTTTAATGGCCCTGGGTGCCGAGTACAGGAAAAAATTTGTAGCTCTCCAACGCCAAGTGGTGGCGTTTCCATATGAGTGAAAAATTCTCGAGAGGGACGTTAAACAACATACATATATACTTCTTGAAGGAGAGCACAGGACAGTTGTTGTTTCCTTTTGTATAAAATTTGATTTTTCTAAAAAAAAAATTTAGTTGGAACAAATTGACGTGCTAAATTAATTTGACACTACCATGTGAAATGTATCTATTGGTACAATATAATATTTTTGTACTGTACCTGGTATTTCATAATACATGTGTTCCAAAATATATCTAATGTGTTTTAATTGAAGTATCTGAAAATGTTTTTCATGCTATAAAAAACTGTAACAGTATAGAGTGGCTTTAATAAGGTTTGCAAAAATGACAACAGATAAAATTCGAAATAATAATAATATATGAATTTATAAAGCGCTAAATATTAATAAATTAACTCTAAAGCGCTGTTCAATAAAACACAAGTAAACATAATTTAAAAGCTAGGGATACATATATAAAATATTAACACAAACTCATATATGTGTTAGAAATTATAACATTAAAATACTAAAATTACATACAAAATACAATTACGCCATAAATAAAACTCAATGTAATTTGTAATTTGCTGATAAAAATTGAGCACCAGATAATTAAAAAGTTAATCTGTAAAATGTCTTTTGAAAATGTTCAGGGACTGGGCCTGTTTTATGTCATTAGGAAGGTCGTTCAACAAAAATGCTGCTGCCCAACCAAATCGACATTCGCCATATGTCTTTGTCCTGATTTTAGGAACAAATAACCGTGATGTTGACTCAGATCGCAGTGATCTGGTGAGCTTGTATTCCATTATAAGATCTTTGATATAAGATGGAGCTAACCCGTGTAAGGATTGGTAGACATATGTCAAGATTTTATATTGTGGACGAAAAGAAACGGGTAGCCAATGAAGATCAGCTAGGATAGGTGTAATATGCTCCTGTTTCGATGATCTTGTAACTAAACGAGCTGTCGTGTTCTGGATTTTTGAATCCGATCTAGTATGGCCTTTGACACTCCATATAGAAGGCAGTTCCCATAGTCCAATCTGGCAGTGATAACGGCGTTCACCATGGTCTTGCAGGCTTCCTTTGTAAGAAAGCGCCGTATACGTCCAATATTGCTTATTTGGAAATAGCATGACTTGACGACCGAGGATACCTGTTTTTTTCCATGGTAAGGTGTTGATCGAAAAAGACACCTAGATTTTTCACACATGGCACGCTTTCAATAATATCACCAACTTTTAGTTGTAATTTTGGCAGATACTTCTGGTGTTGCTTTGTGGTGAAGATTATTAACTCGGTCTTTTCTTGGTTTAGTTTAAGTAGGTTTGATGTCATCCATGAACCAATTTCGCTAAGACACGCTTCGAGTCGAGAGAAATAACTGTTCCAATTTTCCAGTGGTCTTATAATCATGTAGATTTGTGTGTCATCTGCATAGCAGTGATATATCATTCCATGTCTATGGCATATGATTCCATTGGGTTTGGAGAAGAGGCAATACAATTTCGGTCCGAGTACAGATCCTTGGGGGACACCAAAAGGCAGCTGTCTAGACTCTGATCGGATGGATCCAATTGTGACACATTCTTTTCTGTTCTTGAGGTAAGACTTGATCCACTCAAGAGCACCATCGCGGAATCCATAAGACACAGTTAGGCGTTGAAACAGTATGTTATGATCAATAACATCAAAAGCAGCGGATAAATCCAGAAGGACAA